GTCCCTTGCGCCAGAGCAACATTGCAGCAAAACTGAAGAAGGCAAACATGGAGGTGGTGTAAGCGGCGCTGAAGAACGCCATAGCTGGGTTGACGCAGAACAGCAGCGCCGAGCACAGAGCTAGGCGTGCATCTCCGGTGACTTTCACTGTCAAGTGGTGCAGGAGCACGGCCGCACCACAGAAGAACGCGGTGTTGCAGACCACGGCTGAAAGCACTAAACGTTCGTACTGAGAGGTTGCTTGCGAGAATGACAGCGGCCACAGCAACGTGTCCGCCACTACTCTCACGGTCAGCGGCCAGAGCGGGAAGAACGCACCGAACTGCTCGTACTCGTAGCCGCTCTTGGCAATTCTCAGGAAGTAAACAGAATCCCAGCGAGTCAAGCCACCAAAGACGAACTCCAGCCATCTGCTTCTGCCCTCTGGCTGGTCCATGCAGCAAGCGGACGAGTCAAAATCCACGATGCACTGGTGCGTGATCTAGCAGCAGAATGTAGAACAACAGCATGGAAAATAAAGACTGTGAAGTCAATCGAAAAAAGGTCATGAAATTACGTCGATGTTCTGCATGGCGCAGCAACACAAGCCCTGGTTTCCTAGTCCGTACAACGCATAAGTATGCGATGACGTGATAAGCATAACCTGTACATCCTACACTCCAGTAGCAACAGCCAATGAAACATGGAATTGTCTCGGATACACGTGTAGCACCCAGCGCACTCCAGCCTAGTGAATGTGTATTGTAGTTGCACGGGATATCGTGGTACTGTATTGCACTGTACCTGAGCACAAGTCCATGACTTTGTCATTGGCCACTAATGAGTGTATAGAAAATTGAAGTCAACATCACACACCTGCACCGCTAAGACTGAGCTGCATGATGCCATGTTATGAAGGCACCTGCTTGGCGCCGACAATCCGCCTCACTTCTTGTACAGCGCGCATGTACTCAGGTACATTCACTCACACGAATGCACATACGCGCGCGCGCGCGCGTGCACATACACACACACAAACGCACGCCGGCATTCATGCCGAGGATTTGCGATTAAAAGTGGTCAAGGCATGCCCTTTGTTGGAATGGCTCCAAGGCTCATGTCAGTGTACTCTTCTTTTTCAAAATTGGTGAATCAAATGTACGAGCAAGGGGAGCTCCTTGTAAGGAATGAAAATCTAATGCTGAAAAGGCAGTGTTTTCTTTTTTTGTTGCTACAAACTACATGTACATGTACAAGATAATATTGTGTGTCACACCAGTACCTGTATTATAAGCGCGAGTAACCGAGTGAAGAGAGCTATCTTCGCTATGAAACGTACAGGGTTTCGGTCTTTCTTCTCACTGGCCACGTTGGGCTCGTTGGTGTCCATGGCCGATGTACTTTTTATAGCTCCAGAATTACAATTGTGGCAAATAATTGCTCTCAGGTGGCAAGAAGCCAAGAGTGATGACCATTGATTTCTTCCATACGAATTGTGGAGAAACTGTTCATCCAATACAAACTCAGTAACAATGGATTGCCCTCGGTCATCCTACAACAAAACATGTAAACGTTCATGTACAATTACAGTTCATTGTAAACATATCATTGTCCAAATCAAATCATGATCCCACATGATCTTCTGCTTCATAATATCTACCAAACAATAATCTCACTCCTGCAATAACTTCTAGCCGGCTTAGCTAAGAGAGGCCATAACTATGTTACTTGATACGCTGCTAGCTGCGCTGAGAAAGATAACAATATTAAATTTTGACTTTCAAAGGATAATCACTCGTATCGATCGTGGAGGACTCGACTTTGTTCATAAAATTCAAAAAAAATAGTGCACCCAAAAAATACAATGATTATTATGACATAATAGCGTCTTTTCTCCAGAACAACACGCCATTGTCCCTATGCCAACAAAGAGACGACGCTGACAAGTCGTACGGGAAATGCGGAAGCCACGCAAATCTAGCTGTACGTGTCCCAGCTGTCAAAAAAAATTCGAGCCCATATCGAGATGACATTGGGAAAAGATAGCGATACCGCACAGCGAAAAATCTCATTGTCCATGTCCTCTCTTTTGTGTTTGTTTTCTGTGGACGTGGATTTCTGGAAGAAGAAGGAACTATGGCTGCTGACCAGCTAGTGCTGGATGTGGACTTCTGCCGGAGCCTTTTCCCGAGTTTGGCGGATGGCCTGGTATACATGGAGAACGCTGGCGGTTCGTATGTTCCCCAGTCGGTGATTGATTGTACGGTCAGCTTTCTTACGCACCACCGGCGACAGCCGTATGCCCACTATGAGAAAGGTGCCGAAGCCAAGCAGGGCATAAGCCTAGGAGAGACGAAGTTGGCAGAGATGCTGGACGTGGAGACCAATCAGCTGATTTTCGGAGCGAATAGTACGGTAAATTTCTACGTTCTGGCGCAAGCTCTGCGTACAAAGATGAGTCCAGGTGATGAGATTGTTGTAAGCCACCAAGACCACGAGGCCAACATTGGATGCTGGCAGA